GGCACCAGGTGGCACTGCAGGACCACCAGCACGGGGCTGAGGAAGGAGACCCCCATCTCCCTCATCTCCCTGCCCAGGACAGCACTGACAGCAGCCAGGTGAGCATCCTGGGGTACCTGGACTCCCCAAACCTCTCCCTCACCTGACGTCCACGCTGGGGTCATGGGTGACCCCGCAGCTCATGACAGCCTTGGTGCCCTTGATGACACTCTGGTCCTGTGGCGGGTCTGTGATACGTGTCCTTGCTGTGGGAGGGGACACAATGACCCATCAGCACTGCAGGGGTGGCACCAGCAGGGACAGCCCCAAAACTCAGTGCCCGTCTCTGGAGAGCTCCATCCCACAGCACCAGGGTGGTCCCACAGCCATTGGGGCAGGGTCCCTCCCTTCCCTGGCCCACCGTGAGCCCCTTACCCCAGACCACCAGGTCAGCAGAGGCCTCGTCCACGCCGCGGGAGTTGGTGGCCAGGCAGGTGTAGGTGCCAGCGTCAGACAGGTGCGCGGGGCTCACCAGGAGGCTGCCCGACTCCAGCAGGGTGAAACGGGGCAGCTGCACCGAGCCGCTGGCCAGGACCCGCTCCCCTGGGGACACGGTGGGGACCATCAGCGCCACGGCCACCAGGGCAGCGAGGACAGGCTCCAGACCCCTCCCCAGCCCTGTACCTTTCTGCCAGGTGATGGCCGGGCGTGGCGCCCCCGAGGTCTCGCAGTTGAGGATGACGGCCATGCCATCGATCACCGTGCTGTCCTGGGGACCCCGCGTGATGTTGGGGGCGATGCCTGCGGGGCACAGAGGTGCACAGCCCCCCTGAATCCCCTCCCTGTGCTGTGCCCAGCCTGGATCTCTGACCCAGAAGAGTTTCCTGGGCTCTCTGAGCTGTCTGTGGCCCACCACCCAGGGCATGGGGACGTGGCACCTACTGGTCACAGCCAGGTATGTGGTGGTCTGCACCTCGCCGGCCGCGTTGCGGGCGAAGCACTGGAACATTCCGGTGTCGTCGGGGAGCAGCCCGCTGATCTGCAGGCTGCCGTCCTCCAGCAGCTGGAAACGGGGCAGCTTCTCCAGCTGCAGCAGGGCAGCGTCCTTGTACCAGGCCATCTCGGGAGGGGGGACACCTGCAGGGGGACGGGCACGTCAGGCACGGGCTGGTGGTGGCGCACGGAGGGTGCCGGGGAGCAGCTCACCCTTGGCCTGGCAGGGGATGGCCACCACCTTCTCCATCTCGGCCGTGATGTGCCTCTCCGGCTCCCTGATGAACTGAGGGGGCTCTGCCGAGGGAACCGGGAGATAGGAATGGGGGCAGAGCCTCCCCCTGAGGTCCTTGGGATGACCAGTGTCACTCCTGGCACCTCCCAGCCCTGCCCCAGCTCATGGCACACATGGTCTGGGCTGCTGGTGGGCAGGAGCTCACCCAGCATGGACAGAGAGGTGCCCATGGGCAGGAACCCACTCAGCACAGACAGGGAGGATGCCAATGGACAGGAGCTCACCCAGCACGGGCAGGGAGGTGCCCACGGACAAGAGCTAACCCAGAATAGGCAGGAGCTCACCCAGCAGGGACAGGGAGGTGCCAATGGACAGGAGCTCACCCAGCAACAACAGAGATGTGCCCATGGACATGACCTCACTCAGCACAGACACAGGGAGGTGCCCAGGACAGGAGCTGACCCAGCAGGGGCAGGAGCTCACCCAGCACAGATAGGAAGGCCCCAGCAGTGACAGCAGGGACGCTGCTGCTGCGCAGCACAGCCTGGCACTCGTAGAAGCCGCTGTCGCTCAGGGTGGGGTGCAGGATGGTCAGCCGCCGGCTGTAGTCGCTGATCCCGCTGGACACGGGCGCCCCGTCCTTCTTCCAGACGATGTGCAGCTTCATCAGTGGCCTGGGGGCCAGGGAGTGTCAACAACCAGCTCCAGCTTCCCTGGAGGATCCCAACCCCTCCATCGCACAGGACTCCGGTGGGAAGGGACCTCCCTGCATCCCACAGGTCCCAGGAGTGTGGTGGGAAGGGGTTTAGGAGCACCCAGCCCCTAAATCCCCCTTGGGCAGGGCCAACAGGGAGATTCCCCATCGTCATCCCCACCCCAGGGCTCACCTGGCGTTGGCCACACACTCCATGGTCACCTCCGAGGTCCCGGCCACCACGCTGGTGTTCTTGGGAGGGACAATGATGGTGGGTGCGATGGGGTCAGCTGGGCCACCCACATCTGGGGAGAGGCAGGACACAGGGACAGCCATGAGCACCCCTGCCACCCTGGGCTGTCCCCAGAGACGGCACCCAAATCCTCAGCTTGGAGGAGACAAAGGTGGCAGGGACCTGGTGGCTTTCCCAGCTGTCCCTAAGCTGTTGTCCCCCCGTGGAAGCCCTGGCACGCCACCAGGGCCACCAGGCTGGTGGCAGCAGGGAGGGAGCAGGGAGTCCATAAAGCAAAATGATGGCGACAATAAAAAACCCTCATGTAGGCGCTGTAAAACCGCGATGGGCTCGAAAGCTGCTGATAGAGCTGAATCCATAAACAGGGCCTGGGATGTTTATGGAGCTCCAGGACGCCAAGGGACAGGAGAACAGATTGATGGGGATGGGAGACAGGCAGACAGACAGACAGGGATAACCTGTCCTAACCCTGTGGAGCAGCAGGAGGGGAGATGGGAAGAACGGGACAGGACTGATGTCACCTCAGGGCATGTCCCATGGTGTCACACGCATCTTTTATGAAAAACCCTTTCCTTAGGATTTTTCCCCCTGAGAAGCTGAGAGGCCTCAGGAACAAAATGCAAACAATGGTTATCTGCTGCTGTGGAATGCAACAGGTGCATCTGGGATTGGTCTCATGTGGTTGTTTCTAATTAATGGCCAATCACAATCAGCTCAGAGACAGTCAGACAGAGACCTGAGCCACAAACCTTTGTTATCATTCCTTCCTATTCTATCCTTAGTCAGCCTTCTGAGGAAATCCTTTCTTCTATTCTTTTAGTACAGTTTTAATGTAATATATATCATAAAATAATAAATCAGCCTTCTGGAACATGGAGTCAGATCCTCGTCTCTTCCCTCATCCAAGAACCCCTGTGAACACCGTCACACCATGGGATGGGCTGTCACCACCCAAATGGGCTGGGGGACCCTGGAAATCCTGAGGGGCCCAAAGGGACTGGGGGGACAAAAGCCACAGGGATGTCCCCCAGGCAGGGGCTGCTCCAGAGCACCAGGAGCTGACAGGGGGACACAGACAGGGGTGGGGACACAGACAGGGGTGTGGGGCGCCCATGGGGTGACCCTGCAGCCCCCATCCCACAGCCCATCCCAGGGCATGGCAGGATGATGCTCTGCCTGTGACACAGCAGCTCCTGCAGCACAGCCACGAGCACCTAAATAAATTCCGAGCCAGCTGAAGTGTTTAGTCAGCAGAAACCGGAGCCTCTGAGGAGATTTACTGCAAATTAAACCTGGGGGCGAGGCAGGGGCTGGGGACAGGGATCCAGTGCCCCCCACACTCACTGGCCACCGTCAGGGTGATGGGCTGGCTCGTCTTGTTGTCCCCGTTCTTGTCGTTGACCGCCTGCACGTAGTAACGCCCCGCATCCGGCGCCACCGTGGACAGGATCACCAGCGTGTTCTCCAGCGTGATGGCCCTGGCAGGAGAGCATGGTGGAGGTAAACCCATTGATCTGGGACCCTCACTGCCCACCCAGCACCCACACAGGACCCCCAGCCTCCCCCCAGGATGGGGGAACCAAGCCCTGCACCCCTCTGTCCAAGCAGAGCCCATGAGACAATGAAGATTCTGAGGATTTCTCCCTTTTTTTTCCCATTTTTTACTTATTGGAACAATCTCATCTGCTGGAAACATAAAATGCTGAAGGGAATATGTTTTTTTTTTTTAACCATTAAATATGAGATAAAGGAGTTTTATCTCCTCAATCCCGCTTTGCAAATCTAAAGGAGACCAGTTCAATTCCTGCATAATGGGGGTTACAAATTCAATTCCTGCCCAGGGCTGTGGCACCACTGGCACCTGCCACAGCTCCATGGGGACACCTGTGTGCCGTGTTTGGCTCTATCCCACCCTCTCACCCGCCTTCCTCCCTCCTGCTTTCATTTTTTTGTGAAGAAATCCCTTCTCTGGTGACAAACAGAGCCATTAGTCACCAGGCCTGTCCCTGGGCTTTGGCACGATGTTGGTTAAACATCCTTAGTGTGGGAAATGCAGCCCCTGGGATGCTGGGGAGGGTTCCAGGGGGGTTCTGGGGGTGCTCACACGCGGCTGCTGGGGGAGA